ACGAGACTTTAGAAATGTGTGGTCATCAGGTCTCAAAGGTCAGTGAACGATCAAAATTTGCAGCCGTGTAGCGATTACATTCCTGTATGCTTCGAATGCCCGGATCGATTTCACGGGTTTTCCAGAACTGAATATGAAAGACACTCCTCTCGCAGACTACCTTCTCAAAACGTCGAAAATCTTGCGCATGTGAGCAGAACGATGAGGAAAAAGATACTTACAGCATCGAATCCCTTTTGCTTCTTCTCCAGCTGACTGGCCGTAGCGTTAGCCCGATCAACGTCAACTTGCGCATCATCTAGCTCACCAGTAAGCCGAGACTTTGCTTTTTCTAACGAAACGATCTTCTGATTGGCTTGTTCTAGAGCCTCCTGCAATTCGGCGATTTTGTTGCTCTGCTTTCGACGAGCCTCTTCAACTTCGCTCGCCTGCAGCATGCCGTCCTGCTCAAACCGCGATTGCCACTGCTGAATTTCGGCGTTCGCCTTGCTGAGCTGTCGTGCCACCTCGTTTTTCGATTCGATCTCTTCATCCAGATTGTTGTGCGCTTGCTCGGCCTCGATCTGCACATTCTTTACCTGGGCACTGAGCGTTTGTCGCTCGCGCACTTCCTCATCAACGGCCGATCGGACTTCTTCAAGCTGCTGCGACAGTTGTGCCTTGATCCGCTGCAGTCCTGCAACCTGCTCTTCCGCATCCTCGAGCTGTCGAACCAAATCACTATTTTCGTTTGCGAGACGATTGCGCATCATTGTGAAGTCCTGCAGCTGGCGTCCTTGCTCATCAGCGCGTGCCTGCAGGTCATTGAGCTGCACCTCGAACTGTCTCGCCAGCTTCTCATTACTCACCTTGGCAGCTGTCTCGGAATCCAGTTGTGCTGCTAAGTCTTCCGTATTTCGCACAATCTGCGACTTATCTTTCTCGATCTTCTGCTTCTGCTTTTGAATCTGATCCAGCTGATCGGAGAGTTCCGCAACTGCATCGGTGTGCTTTTTGCGCAGTGCGGCTAACTGACTTTCGTGATTCATGTTGGCCTCTTCGATGTCGCGTCGCAGTTTTGCTAATTCCGCTTCGCGCTTCTTGTTGATCTCGAGCTGTGCGGCAGTAGCACCTCCCTGCTCGTCCAGACGATCGTTGAGCTCCTCGAGTTCACGCTGAATATCAGCACGTGCTTTGTCCGTCTTCGACTTCGATTGCCGCTCGTTTTCCAGCTCATCTTCCAGTTCAGCAGCCCGGCTTTGTGCCTCTTTGATCTGTCGCTGTAGCCTGCTAATCGTGGCCTGTTCGTCCTCGAGGCGACTGCTCAATGAGTTCATCTCGGC